TGCAATTCTAGCCAGCTTTTCATAACTTGACATTGTAATTTCTGTAGAGGTCACAACTTCTGCAACCTCCATCAGATCGTCCAACAACTCTTTTGGGTTCATGCAGTCCGCCCGTTTGCCATATGGATGTAAGGAAGCTGTCAGCAGAGCTAACGCATCTTCCAAACAGTCCTTCATCCCATAAGGATCAAAGTCTTTTTCCCTGACACCTGTCATGGTTATTCACCGTTCAGCACTTTTTCCGGATAAAACAATTGCCAGCTTCAGATTTTTTCACAGGTAAATAATTGTATTCAAATGTCAATGAGTCTCACACTATTTCAGCTTTGGGTTTACACAAAAGTACTGTTATAAGTCTACTTATTCAAATGTGAGCACCTGTCTCAGGTTTTACCCCAATTCATGAATATTTAAGTAAATGCTTCCATGCAGTGTTACTTGTATGTGCTTATTTTTCAACAGATACTAGATTACCAAGCGTCTCCGTGTCTTCCACTCTAAAGCACTGAATTTTTATAAACCTGCAATTTCTCTTTTTAGTCTCACAGCACATCAGTTTAAAAATGTTTTTAAACCGTTTACTTCCAGAAATTCGCTATTTTAAACAGTTACTCATCAACCCAGGTGGGTGAAAAGAGAAAAGAAAATTGATGATGAGGAATAATCAGGCTTTTTTCAGAAAAACTGTACTCCTTTCTCCTGCCAATCTTCTACTTAAAATTAAATAGGAGATGTAATTGTTTAGGTGGTAAATAAAATCAGAAAAGTCTCTTTTTCCTGATATATTTACTCTTATTTAGTGATTTAGCAATTGAACGTGCATTATCTTTTAGCAAATGAGTAAACTTTATCAACTCTGTGAATATCTGAAACTGTACCTTTTTTGTTAAAAAGTTTCTACCTTTTATTTTGTACCTTCTCAATGAGGAATTACCAGTGAATAAAGGTTTGTTGGTAAATGCCTTTCCGCATAAATACCTCAATTACTTTTTAAATGCAAGATAACAGTGATTATTCAGCTTTGAGGAACGTTTATTAACTCAAAAATGCCTTACAGAAATAAAAAACGTTTAATTTCACTCAAAATACCTAAAACTGAAGTGAAACTGTGATCTCAAGTTTTCCAGGAGGGGGCAGTGTTTAGCTTTCTACCAGCAGGAGTCTATGACGACTTCCTGTGACGTTCGGTTGACATCCTGTTTTTAGCCGCTTAGCTTAAAGTTAGCTTTGGCTAAACTCGGTTAAAATCAACATTTCTGAACGGTTGAAGCGTAAACGTGGCGTTTTCTCAACAAGCACGACTTCTTAGCATGAACAAGAGTTTTCTGGGACATGTGGCAAGTTACATTTAGTGAATTTAAGCACAGCAAAGCTCTCGGTTGCAACCGAGCTCATTTCCGACATGGAGGAAGTGACGTGACACGTCACTCATCCGGTCGTTAGCTGTTAGCTTAAAATTAGCATCGCTAGCGTTGTTCAAAAACATCATTTAATGACGGATTTTAAACTCAAACGTGGCGAAATTTCAACAATTATGCTTCGAAGACACGGAGCAGTGGATCAGAATCAACTTTTAAAGCGTTTTTGAACTTTAAAAAGCAGATTTTATTTCCCTATGAAAACGAGTTTTCATTTCCGGGTTACTGACTGACACGACTCTCAGCCAATGAGAGCGTTCCACGGCCGCCAAATCAACCAATCACGCAGCGTTTTCCCCAGCTAGCATGTTCGATTTATCTGAACAAGTCCGTCAACTTTTCTGTCTTTTAAACTGTCAAAATGCACTTTTTTCTGTTAAAAATGTAATCAATAAGCTCCCAGCTGCACGGAGTCGGCGCCCCGGTCTCAAAAACGTCTTTCTAGCTATTTAAACAACTCGTTCGAACTTTTTCAGAACCGAGCCGGTACCAGAACCGAACCTCCGTCCGTTTGGACCAGTTTAAACAGAATAAAGCGTTTTAACTCACAGCCAGCTTATGTTACACATAACAGACGTACAATCTCAGCTTTCATAAAGACATATGACTCACAATTCCAGCTTCAAAACATTGCCAGCGTAAACATGCAGCGTCTAGCTCCAAGCGCGCAGCTTCAGCACGCTGCAGTCTGCTATTTCTCCATGCCAACATGAAATATCAATTATTACACGCATACACAGTCCATTTATGAACACGTCACGGGCCACCAAAATGTGGTGGAAACGTGCGGACGGGCCACCAATATAGTATAAACAGAATAAAGCGTTTTACAGCACACTGTTTATATTAATTTGGTAGAATACATGTAGTGACAACATAATTAATTTTACAGGAAGTGAGAACAATATGGCGATTGTTTTCACTTTTCAGCAGAACAGCAGACATCAATTCACACGGCGGTGATTGATTTTTTAACAAATAGGAGAATTTAAAGATGGAAATGAAGTTTAAAGGGAGTAAAAGATGGTGTGTGAGGGGGAGTGTTGACCAGAACCGACACTCTCCATTCGAACCCAGCTTTTCCTCGGTACGCTTTGGTAGTAAACTTGACTCATTACCTTTCTGAAGATAAATCAGCAGATATGGAGTTCCAGTTAACGCTACCTGTCCAGCGTCTCCATAGGATGGCTGTGACTCGTCCGAAGTAGTGACGAGATTCCGTCCGACACCAGCTCACCTCAGCAAGTGGACTTCACATGAGTGGAGTCCTTCAGAAGTTCCACTCAGAGGTGGAAGATGTTATAATCCAACTCGGAAGAGCCTTATCATGGCTGGACTTCTGTTCTCCCAAACGACTTCACAGAACTGTGAACATCTCAGAACTTCTCCCGCTTCACCGAACTGAGAGAACTAGGAAGTACCGGCATTTTAAAGAGCTCTATTTCCGGTATATTTGAGCGTCCCTGATTGGTCCATATCAACCAGACAGGGGTGTGTTTTGTGATGTAAGAGGTTACTAGAAGTCAGAAAACAGCAAGAATTGTTATGGAACAGATTTAAACTGTTCTCAGACAGGTGAGAGGAATATTTTGGCGAGTTTGGAGAAACAGGTGCCAACTCCTCTGTTTACGTCTGAGAGGATTTTAAAACAAGACACATGTCTGCTTCGACTCCGACCTTGGACAAAACTTACACTTGCTCATTCAAAGACAGAAATCAGAAAATACATGATTACTCTGTAACAGGCCTTAACATGAATTCTAACTTTGCATGAGGATTAAAAAATCATTGTTACTGTTTTACAGTTAATAAAATTGATTAGTTCACTGCAACATCTAAAATGGTTTGAACTAAGACACTTTGATTATCAACATTTGTAAAATGGTAATGATAATAAAAAGAGAGTGTTCTTTCACTTGATTTTCAAGAAAGAAAGTCTCAGGATGGGTGAACCTGTATTTCTGGATTCAAATCAATGAAATGACAGTTTCTGTCCCACAAGGTTCTTAAGGTCAAGGGTTTTGACCTTAGGCTTAGTTTTGACATCAGGTTAAGTTCACTACAAGAGGAAACAGCCGAAATAAATGTACTTGTTTGTTCTGTGTGTGAATCTGATTTGATAAAGCTAATGAGTTCTGTGATTAAGAGCTGTCATCTCTTTTAGCCAAGAGTTGAAATGTGACACTTAGTGTTGGTTAAATTAACATCTAGGTATTAAAGAGCTCACTGATCAAACAATGAGGAAAAGCAGCTGACTCTACAAAATTATGAATCACAATCTCATGTATTCAACAAAGTTCAGTCAGGTCCTCTGGACGGTGCCTTCTTGTTGAAGTGTTTTGTCTTTCACCCAGAAGACTTCATCAGTTCAAGGAACCACAACAAACTCAGTCTTATAAATAGAACCTTCACATAGTAGGTCAACCAGTTTTATGGTGTTCAGATAGTTTCTGTAGACCGCCCTCTCCCCCGTTTACTCATTTGAGGCAGTCATGGCCTCTGGATTTTTCTACCTGGATTACTGAGCATGAATCAGGATGGTTTGAACCACTTTGGCCATGACTGCCTCAAATGAGTCGGTGAGGGAGAGGGTGGACTACAGAAACCATCTGAGCACCATCAAACTGGTTGACTCACTATGTGAAGGTGCTATTTATAAGATTGAGTTTGTTGTGGCTCCTCGGACTGATGAAGTCTTTTGGATGAAAGACGAAACATTTCAACAAAAACTAACCGTCCAGAGGACCTGACTGAACTTTGTTGAATTTTTCTACCTGGATTATTGAGCATGACTCAGGATACAATCTCGTGTAATTTAGTTGGTGCAGTGTGTAACTTTATTGTTCATTTATATTCATGTTTCATTAAGGCCAGATCTGTTTAAAATATTAGAAGGCTTTGTGGCAAAAATGAGCCACCAGCCCCCGCTACAGTTTTGCACCTTCATTCCTTGTCTACAGTTGCAGGTGTCCGTTACCTTTTAGTGCACACTGCAGTCCTGTTTTGTGGCTATTCTTGTTCCAGGTTTGATATTTTTGTCTATTGTACCTTCACATTTTAAAATAGGGATGTCTTTAAACAGCCCACCACAACATGGACCTGAGAGCTGAAGTGGGACGGTTGGGGACCATAATTTTACATTCACTTCACAATTAGAATTGGCTTACAAATTACTACATAATGCACAGAAAATGAGCACATGTTGTTTTAGTGTTATTAGTATTCACCTGTTTCTTTGATACATATGAATTTCTGAAGGCCATTATTAAACCACTGACAACAAAAACTCCATTAAAACATATAGGGCCTCTTCGTTGTAAACATTATTTTGTTGGGTCTGAGCAGTGACTAACACAGCTGAACACCTCACCTCAACCTGAAGCCTGTCTCCTGAACATAACCACAGCCATAACTAAAAACAACTCTCAACAATACTTTTGTAAACATGGAGACTCAAACTAGCTTCATTTGGGTAAAGAAGGTCTCCATAGTTTTACATTCAGGTAACCATTGTGTTAGTAAAACACCACACACACAGGATTACCAACACATGACATTAACGGATGCCTTGTGGGTCTGCAGGTGTGCAACAGCAACGGGAACTGTCACTGTAATCCAGGGTGGGCTCCACCTTTCTGTGAGAAGCCGGGACTTGGCGGCAGCGTGGACAGTGGACCTGTGCAATATGACAGTGAGTACACAAGCATGCCTTGGCTGCAGGTTGCCTCTTTACATAATCAATTTTGTCCTCCATCATGGAGCAAAGGGGGGAGCTGGAAATACATTTGCTCTGTCAGTCTGTCCGTGCATGTTGTGAGCATGATAACTTGGAAAATAAGTGCAGTACCAACTTCCATCTTGATGTGTGGGTGCATCTAAGAGTAAAAAAAGGTTATTTTTTAAAAATCGGGTTGCCACATGGGGTGAAAATCAGCACCTCCAAATCTGAAATCATGATCCTCAGTCAGAAAAGGGTGGATTGCTCTCTTCAAGTCAAGGGTGAGGTTCTGCCTCAAGTGGAGGAGTTCAAGTATCTCTGGGGTTTTTTCACGAGTGAGGAAAGAATGGAGCATGAGATTTATAGACGGACTGGTGCAGCATCTCCAGTATTGCAAACTCTGTGCCGGTCCGTTGTGGTGAAGAGGGAGCTGAGCTGTAAGGTGAAACCCTCTGTTTACTGGTCAGTCTACGTTCCTACCCTCACCTATGGTCATGAACTCTGAGCAGTGACTGAAACAACAAGACTGTGGATACAGGAGGTTGAAATGAGTTTCCTCTGCAGGGTAGCTGGACTCTCCCTTAGAGATAGGGTGAGAAGTTCAGTTATCCATGATAGACTTGGAGTAGAACTACTGTTCCTCCACATCAAGAAAAGCCAGTTGAGGTGGTTCAGGCATCTGGTAAGGATGCTCCCTGTGCGCCTCCCTAGGGAGGTGCTTCGAGCATGTCCAACTGGGAGGAGACTCCGGGGAAGACCCAGGACACGCTGGATAGACTGTCTCTCGGTTTGCCTGGGAACAACTTGGAGTCCTCCCAGAAGAGCTAGAAGAGGTGGCTGTGGAAAGAGATGTCTGGACCTCCTCTCTTCAAGATGCTGCCCCACGACCCAACTTCAGAACAAGTGTAAGGTGATGGATGGATGGATGGATGGATGGATGGATGGATGGATGGATGGATGGATGGACAGATGGATGGGTATCTGAATTGTTTATTCTCTCAGTGGCATTTATTGGAGCAAATTTGTTGAAAATGAAGCTGCATTTATTTATTCAGTGAAAAAAAGACAAGAACAACTTTATTTTATAATTCATCTTAAAAGACTTGGAAAATAATTTGTTTCTTACAGATAAAAGTAAATTTTCACCAAATCATAAATCGTTTTAAATCTTGCATGACATGTACAAAAACATGTCATTAGTTTAATGAATGATTTCTGCCTTAAAGCTGGAAAAAAAAAGGTTTGTTTGTTTTACATAAAACCTCTTCAGGTCAAGGGTGAGGTTCTGCCTCTAAGGGAGAGTCCAGCTACCCTGGAGAGGAAACTTATTTCAACCTCCTGTATCTACGATCTCAGTCTCAGACCATAGGTGAGGGTAGGAACATAGACCCACCAGTAAACAGAGAACTTTGCCTTACAGCTCAGCTCCTTCTTCACCTCAACCGACCAGCACAGAGTCCACAATACTGCAGATGCTGCACCAATCTGTCAATCTCACGCTCCATTCTTCCCTCACTCATGAACAAAACCCTGAGATACTTGAACTCCTCCACTTGAATGAGAATCCACACCTTTTTGACTGAGGACCAATTTAGATACCAAAACTGTAAAATAAAGCCGTTCTCCGATAAGAAAAATAAGCAAATAAATAAATGTATTTAAACAGATTCATGAAAAGAACCCAAACACACTGAGGGTGACAGAGACAGCAAAAACATTTTGATTCAAAAGTATTCATTGTTTAAAAAAAGGCTGGTAGTGTTAGACTCAGGTGTGATGTGCTCATACATCTGAACATGCAATGATTCAGTGTGTGTCTTTATAGGTCAAGTGGGTTTGGTAGTGGGGCTGATCTTGGCCTTCCTGGTGGTCCTTCCTGCAGTGCTGCTGCTTTTCTACTGCTGCAGACTCAAGAACTCCTACTACCGCAAGTGGCTTTCACAAAGAGAGAAGAACAAGAACAACAAGTACTGTCCCCTACCCTGTTCTGTCTTGTCTTCTCTTTAAATGGACTGTACTTCTATAGCTGCTTTCTATCTAATCAAGATACTCAGAGCTCTTTACAACACAATCTGTGCCTCATTTATCATCCAGCACACACATTCATACAGCTCTCTACTAGATCTCAAGATAATCTGAATCTGTAGAGACTAATCAGAGCTTTACCACATTTTACACTGATGGGACACACATCAGAGACAATGAGGGGTTCAGTGTCTTGCCCAGGGACACTTCAGCATGTCACTGCTGGTGGAATCGAACCCCCAACTCTCCCTTTGGAGGACAACTGCTCTATAGCTGACTTTCTGTCTGTCCCTTTCTTTTACAATATACCTTCCTGGAATACTGTACACCCAAAACAAAGATTATTTTATGTTTGGCTTGTTTTTGTAATTTGGGGAACTGGAAATACCATCTGTTTGTTCGTGCATGTTGTGAGCATGATAACTTGAAAAATAAGTGAGTTACTACTGTAACTTCCATTGTGTGGATTCATCGAGGTGTAAAAATTGGGTTGTCACATAATCCAATCCAAGATGGCCACCACCATATACAAGTATATATGTGTATATACATATATATATATATATATATATATATATATATATATATGGTGCAAACAGCTCCACAGAGGATGCAATCGCCATAGCTCTTCACTCTGCACTCAGCCACCTGGAGCAGCTGCAGAGCTATGTCTGGATGTTCTTTGTAGATTACAGTTCAGCACTTAATACTATCATCTTGGACACTCGTATCACCAACCTGGACATTCTCAGTTCCCCCCCCTCACGTGTGCCTAGGTAAAAGACTCACCAACCGGCCCCAGACTGTGAGACCTAGCCCCCATCTCTCCTCCACTTGCACACCGAGCACCGACTCACCACAGGGCTATGTGCTGAGCCCTCTCCTGTATTGTCTCTACACCCACAGCTGCAGACCAGCCCACAACAACCACATCGTCAAGTTTGCAGACGACACCACAGTGGTTGGGCTCATCCTGAACAGAGAAGAAACAGCTTACAGGAAGGAGGTCCTGAAGGTGCAGTGGTGTTCACAACCTGACTCTTAATACCAAAAAAAAAACAAGATCATCATTGACTTCAGGAAGTACAGCTCTGACCCAACCCCTCTACATCAACTGTGAATGTGTGGAGACAGTCCACAGCTTTCGTTTTTTTGGCATCCTTATCTCCACCAAGCTCTCCTAGACAGACAACATCAGTGATCATCAAGAAGGCTGAGCAGAGGCTTCACTTTACTGAGAGTTTTCAGGAAGTACAATCTGGATTCCAGCCTGCTACTGACCTTCTATTAATCGTCCACTGAGAACCTGTTGACGTACTGTGTCACAGTATGGTACGGCAGCTGCACCGTTACAGACAAGGAGAAACTACAAAGAGTAGTAAATGCAGCACAGAAGATCATTGGATGCCCTCTCCCCTCCCTGATGGAAATTTACATCTCCCACTGCCTCAGCAGAGCAAAACGCATGATCGAGGACGGCTCTCACCCTGGGTTTGATCTGTTTGATCTGCTGCCCTCAGGGAGGTGCTACAGGTAAAAGGTAAATGGACTGCACTTATATAGCACCTTTCTATCTTATCAAGATACTCAACGTGCTTTACACTACAATCTATGTCCTCATTTACCCATTCATACAGCACTTTACTAGATTTCTTCAAAGACTAATCAGAGCTTTATCACATCCATTCATTTTATTGATCTTAATGTTTTAACAACTGTTTTATGTGTTTAAATGTTCTTGATTTTATATGTACAGCACTTTGTGGCAGCTGTGGTTGTTTTAAAGGGCTTTATAAATAAAGTATTATTATTATTATTATTATTATCCATGGGACACACATTGCACCTTTGGAGCAGCTGTGGCTGAGTGGTTAGGACAGTCGTCCTCCATTGGGAGAGTTGGGGGTTCAATTCCACCAGGTGTCATCTGCTGAAGTGTCCCTGGGCAAGACATTGAACCCCTAATTGCCTCTGATGTGTGTCCCATCAGTGTATGAATGTGATAAATCTCTGATTAGTCTTTGTATAGATCTAGTAAAGTGCTGTATGAATGGGTAAATGAGGACACAGATTGTGTTGTAAAGAGCTTTTTGAGTGTCTTGATTAGATAGAAAGGTGCTGTATAAGTAGTATTTTCTTTTTTTAGACTCTTGTGCAATTTTTTGTGACTGCATTTTCTATACACCTTATTCCTCGCCTCCATGCTGCGTTGTGTGAATTATGGGCGCAACTTCAGGTGCGGATCAGAACCAGCATTTGTTTCTGTGTGAACAGTAGGAGCTAATGTAGTTTCTCCAAGCATTGCAGATTTAATTTAAACATGTGGGAACACCAGCTGTCAGAGCTCAAACATGACAATTTAATCACACCACCGCCTGCTGAGGACGAGGGATGGAGGACAAGCTGAAGAAGTGGCTGATTACAAACCGGATTCCAAAAAAGTTGGGACACTAAACAAATTGTGAATAAAAACTGAATGCAATGATGTGAATGTGCCAACATCTAATATTTTATTCAGAATAGAACACAAATCACAGATCAAAAGTTTAAACTGAGAATGTATAATTTTAAGGGAAAAATCTGTTGTTTCCAAATTTCATGGCATCAACCAATCCCAAAAAATTTGGGACAAGTCCATTTTTACCACTGTGTGGCATCCCCCCTTCTTCCCAAAACACTCAACAGACGTCTGGGGACAGAGGAGACCAGTTTCTCAAGTTTAGAAATAGGAATGCTCTCCCATTCATGTCTAATACAGGCCTCTAACTGTTCAATCGTCTTGGGCCTTCTTTGTCGCACCTTCCTCTTTATGATGCGCCAAATGTTCTCTATAGGTGAAAGATCTGGACTGCAGGCTTGTAACGAGTCTGTATGGATCAGCACAAGACCTGACTCAGGACAATATTAAAATAAAAGGTTTTATTTTATTAAAGGCGTTCGTCTGAAGGATCTGAGCCTCAGTTCTGGTCCAATCTATGAAGACAGACAGGTTAGTGACTGCAAAAAGGTTCTGGGAGCTGAGAGGTGGTGTGCACGTCACTAACCTTCTGTGGCAGGAGCAGAGCTGAGACAGAGAACGTTGGAGGGCTGGGCAGGAAACAGAATCCAGGGACGTAGCAGGGGTCGAGAGCCAGGAGCTGTGTGAACAGGCAAAAGGATGATCCGTAGTCGTGGTCGAAGAGGAGAGCGAGGTTGTACCATGTAGGCCGAGAGTGTGGTATCCAGACAGGGGCAAAGACAAAGCGAGGAGTCAAGAGGGAAGCTGTGGTCAAAAACAAAGAAACTAGGAACGAATGAATGCTGGATACTTTACTGGCTGTGAGGCTTTCAATAATCTGGCACTGAGGAGAGTGAGAGTGGAGCTTAAGTAGTGAGCTGAACAGGTGTGGCAGGTGAGTGGTGATTGCAGAGACAGGGTGCAGCAGATGAGTGCAGATTGCTGAGAGAGAGTGACAGGAGCAGAAAATGGGTGATAGGCAGTGCAGGACCAAACAGGATTAAATAAACAGAAACTGAGGCAGGAAACAACGTGAATGATCTTAAAACAGGGGCTGTGATATGAGGAGCAGAGGCTTAGGCAGATGGGGGGGCAGCGGGGGCCGCTGAGCGTGACAAGGCTGGCCATTTCAGTACCCGGATCCTTCTCCTACGTAGCCATGATGTTGTGATTGCTGCAGAATGTGGTCTGGCATTATCGTGTTGAAAAATGCAGGGTCTTCCCTGAAAGAGATGACGTCTAGATGGGAGCATATGTTGTTCTAGAACCTGAACATAGTTCTCTGCATTAATGGTGCCTTTCCACACATGCAAGCTGCCCATGCCACAAGCGCTCATGCAACCCCATACCATCAGTGATACAGGCTTCTGAACGGAGCGTTGATAACAACTTGGGCTATCCTTGTCCTCTCTGGTCCGGATGACATGGCGTCCCAGTGTTCCATAAAGAACTTCAAATCGTGACTCATCTGACCACAGAACAGTCTTCCATTTTGCCACACTCCATTTTAAATGACCCCTGGCCCAGTGCAAACGTCTGAGCTTGTGGAGCTTGCTTAGAAATGGCTTCCTCTTTGCACTTTAGAGTTTCAGCTGGCAACGGCGGATGGCACGGTGGATTGTGTTCACTGACAATGCTTTCTGGAAGTATTCCTGAGCCCAATCTGTTATTTCCTTGACAGTGGCATTCCTTTTAGAGGTGCAGTGACGTTTAAGGGCCCGGAGATCACGAGCATCCAGTAGAGTTTTACGCCCTTGACCCTTACGCACAGCGATTGTTCCAGATTCTCTGAATCTTTTGATGATATTATGCACGGTTGATGATGATAACTTAAAAGTCTTTGCTATTTTACGCTGGGTAACACCATTCTGGTATTGCTGCATTATCTTTCTGTGCAACAATGGTGGAATTGGTGATCCTCTTACCATCTTGGCTTCTGAGAGACACTGACACTCTGAGAAGCTCTTTTTATACCCAATCATGTTGTCAATTGACCTAATTAGTGTTAATTGGTCTTCCAGCTGTTCGTTATATGCTCAATTTCCTTTTTCCAGCCACTTATTGCTACTTGTCCCAACTTTTTTGGGATTTGTTGACACTGTGAAATTTTGAATCAACATATTTTTCCTTTAAAATGTTACATTTACTGAGATTAAACTTTTTATCTGTCATCTATGTTATATTACGAATAAAATATTGACATTTGCCATCTCCACATCATTGCATTCAGTTTTTATTCACAATTTGTTTAGTGTCCCAACTTTTTTGGAATCCGGTTTGTACATCTACTAGCATTTTTAGCTACTTCACTAACTCGGTTCTTCTGACAGTGAAGCGATGAACAACCTGAAAAGCTCTGAGGTGTATCAGTATCTACACAGTAATGAGGTTGATGTTTTTTGTTAAAAGAGGTGGGACACAATCTTATTGACCTTAAAGCAGACACAGAGTCCAGCCAAAGCCTTAAAGTCCTCCATCACTGAGCTTGGGTTCATTGCAGAGAAAATCATAAAACTGAAGACAAACAAATACTATAAAGCTGTGACCTCCATACACTTGAAATCTTCCCTGATGTTCTCCGTCACTGTTTTCAATCCTTCTGAGGATCCAGCGTCTCTTCTCCGGTGGTTTATTGTAGTCCACACATAAAGTAGGATGCAGGTTTTCCTCCGTCGGCCGTTCCATGTTCAAACTCTGTTGTTGTAGCCTCTGATTTAGTTTGGTCTGATTGTTCTGCAGTCGTGAACATAACAGATACCTGAACTCATCACTGCTCTTTTAGTAAACTTTATAGTTGTTAAATAAATGTAAACAAAACAAAAACAGAGTTTTTTCTGCTAAACTAAATGCAAATAACTTTCAAATAACTCACGGTCCGTGCTCCACCACCATGGTTAACCAATGCTGACTGCTACTTCCTGTCTGACAGGAAGTTGTACTATAATCATTTATACAGTGGAGCTACCAGGAAGAAGGTGGATAGATCTTTCTTTTTTGAGGGTTACTCTCGTTATCGTTCACCATAGACCTGATTTGTTCTCACACCAGCCCTCTGCGTATCTTCCTTCACTACATTTATTAACCTTCTCTGTTGTCTTGATCTGTTCCTCCTTCCTGACATCTTCAGCATCTTTTGTCTGATGTATTCATGACCCTTTCTCTGCTCATGTCCAAACCATCTCAGCTTGTCTCATTTCATATTGATCTCTGATCATGTCTGCTTTGATCACTCCAAATAAAAGTCTTAATGTCCAGCAGCTTCTTCCTGTTGTTTTGTCAGAGCCACCATCTTCAAACCAAACATTATAGCAGGTCTCACTACTATTTTTAACCTTCCCTTTGACTTTTGCAGCTGTCCTTTTGTCACAAATCACCCCTGATAATCTGTCAGTTCTATCCAGCCTCTTCTTCACTTTCTCTGTGTTCTGCTCCTTGCTTTGGATTGTCACTCTTGTCCTTGAATTTATACACCTTCAGTACATATACCCCTTGCAGCTTCACTGATCTAACTGTCTCTC